AATTTTTAATATATATACTTACATCATTCTTCAGTAGATGATAGATAATATTGGTATATATCGATTAATCTTAAAGTACAATTAATCTGGTTTGCAAACCAATCAGTTAATTTGTTCTGCTCCACGAATACAGAATCAGGGAGTTTTCGCTTTCCTTTTCCATTGTAAGTTTATTCACGAAGCGCATACCGCCTTTATGTTAAAAAGACTTTTACAATAGTGCCTAATTGCCTCTCTGTCACAGAATATTTTTTTACGTTGTTAATCACTGAGCAGTGATTATTCAAAATACTTATTTCAATAGGCATTGTCTTCGTCGGTGTATTGGTATGTGATCTTTCAAATTGACTTCATAAAGCGAGACGTTCTCAATTCGACTGTACTTTTTATGTGTATGTTAAACAATAAAACTTTAGCTGTTTTGTAATGATTTCGGATTTATATTTAAAGTGTAGATTTTTTTTATACAACTTAGAATGGCAAACAAGCTGACGGCCCACCTGATGGAAAGTGGTAATCGTCGCCTATAGACATGAGCAGTACCATGGACATAACAGAGTATACTGTTTCGCCCATGATACCCCCCATGCGTTGCCATTCCTGAGGACTCAGGTGTTATTCCTCTGTACCCTGTAAATTCACGTCATATCCCACCCTTCAAACCGAAACACAGCCATGTATGCCTAACATATTAATTAATAATTTAAGAGATTGAAATAGGTGTTTTTAATGGAATATAATAATCAATTGTCGTTTAACAACTTCTACACAAATGTAATGTTATAAAATGTTTGTTGTGTCTTGTTGGTACTTATTTAAATTATTGCTGTAAATTTATAAACTTTGTAATAGGTACTTGTTGTATTACGAAGTTTTGACACCTACATGTCTGCTCATAGAGTTCATGCTTCGTTATTAATAATAATGAAGATGAGATTATTACCCATCTCAAAGTTGAAACAGTAAGTGGGGGAGTTTCATTCATGAGACACATTTAATGACAATGCCTCAGGCACACATTTGTCGTTTGTTGTGGTTTTTTGCTGAATAAAATGTAGTTTTAATTTTGAAGTGGATCTAGTGTATCTTTAATTTTTACATTTATTTACGTACGAAGTACATCGTTTAAATTATATTTATAAAAATAAATTTCCTTACATTAGATACATAATTAATCGGTATTAATGCATTAAGATTATTTTTATAAGTACTTTAGTATATGTGGCAAGTTATTTTGTAAGTTACAATTACTTTAATTATAGATGTTTTTAACAAAGACAAAATGTTGAATCCGATTTTTTAATTTCAATCAATCAAAAATAAATATTTGACGATACAAAAAGTAGATATAACTAATTCAGATTAAAACCCTTTTTTATAAAAAAAAAATCACTTTTAAAGTGAAAGATGATATCCATGTAAATCCAATTTTTTTATGATACAAAAAACGTAAAATACATTATTCAAAAGCTCCGGCCGTCCAGCGTTAATCGATTTCTGCGTGAAATGTCAACAGGAATATTAAATAAATCGCTTGGGAAAATGAAATTTACAGCAGTGTTTGGAACCTAAACGACAAAGGGTTCGTTTGTTATCATCCTCACTTTTTTGTATAACGAGAATAACGATCACAATAAACAAAAACAAAATGAAACAATAGACAATTTGTAAATTCATTATTGAAGATAAGATGATATTTTTTTATTGTTTGGCAGATCTATTTATAAATATTTAATATTAATATAATAGTGGCAACCGCAGTTAGACTTTGGAGATGTTTTAAGATGGACAATGCTACCCATCCCTCGCTCTCCCTTGGTCGCCTCTTACGACACCCACGGGAAGAAAGGGATGGCCTATTCTATGCTGGGACCACACAATAAAATAATTGACAGCCTTGAAAAAAGTAATCATAGATTTCTAAGTATTTAATATTAATATAATAATGGGGACATAAGTCGTATGTTATCTAATTACATATACACGCATCAACAAAGCTGAAACCACAATATATATAAAATTCTAAATCTCGAACATATATTATCATTTAAATTTATTGAAAACTCATTTGATTCAGTTCATAAGTAATATTCATTAATATACAAAAAAGAAAAATTGCATTTCTGTATAATTATATTATGTTAAAATTAAAAATTATATTAACTATATTATGGCGTCGTAATTTAATCTTTGATTGAACATTTTATTTCTTATATAAGATTTGTAATTGGTAATAAAATAATGGACAGCCTTGAAAAAATATTAATATAAAAATGGGGACACAAGTTGTATATCGTTATATTATGGTATACTACTTAAAGCTTAAGGTTTCACACAAATTCACAAGGCCATAACCGTTACACATTCAAAACTCTTAATCTCGAACATATATTCTAATTTAAATTGATTAAGAACTCATTTGAGTCAATTCAAATGATAAGTATTCATTTACATACAAAAAAGAGAAATCACATTTCTACAAAATTTTCAGTGGCGTGTTTTAATATCTGATTGTACATTTTATTTTGCTTATATAAGATTTGTTTTCTAAATCACTTTTGACAGCCTTGAAAAAATTAATTATTTAGAAGTTCATGTCAGATAATGTCAAATTAACGACGAGGGTAAAACATCGGGGTGTATTTTTTATAATGTAATTATGAAGAATAATACTTAATTAACAATCTAACATATTTGTGAAATCATAAGCTTGGCATATGACACCAATTGCTCGTTGTTAATTAATTAACAAGTTTCTAATACTTTTATATTTCAGTTCTGTGTCCTCATCATTAAGGAAAGGTTTTTATTTACCTACCGATTTCTGCAGCTTTATTTAATTGAATGAGTATATGAAGTATTCCATATGTTCAGATGGGATATTATAACCTATGAGTGTACCAAATTTCATTTAAATCCACTCAGCCGTTTAGGCATGTTTGATTAACAAACATACAAACATCTTTGTTTAAAAACTTTCATATTTCTAATATTAGTAGGATATCACTGATAGTCTTCCGTCAGATTATATTACAGTAGTCATGTATTTGTTACATGTCGTCATGTTAAATCTAAATGTGTAATCATCATGTTACCTATCAGCGAACAAGGAATACTAACAGTAATTTATATTTTTAATATATATTATATTGATTCATTGATATAATGTAAAACTGGATTTTTTTAAAATTTATTACATAAGTCTCATATACATGTTCTTCACAATATTTATTATCACATAATCATCATCATCATCGTTTCATTATTAAACAGTAACCTAATATTAATAATATGTATTGACATAACTTATTCTGAATATCCCTTCCCCCCCCCCCCTTGGGCAAAAGCAGTCTGTATTTTTTTTAACTTTGATTGTAACCAACACGAATAAGTTTAATTGTATAGATTTTTTTCTTTATAACAATAAGTATTGTGATGCTACAAAGTATTTTTTTTTTTGTGGTTACTGATACCTAATATTTATTAATATCTGACCGTAAATTAAAACGAAATAATTGCTTACAGTCACGGAAAAAGTTTGTCCATACAAAATTTTGCAACCTTTTTTCCTCCTTTCACCTCAGTAGACTTTGAACTTTTAAAACGTCGTACAACATTGTTTCTTTCGTAATGTTAATGAAAATTTTTATTTATAATCATTTTATTTGTAAATTGTCAAAGTATTACAGTCTACCCGTTGACATTAATGCTTCTTTCCGCGTTGAGTTTGAGGAAGACAACTCTTCAAGAGTTCTCTTTCGAGAACTTCTTCTTCTTCGTTCGAATTAAGCTCGCCTTTTATCAGTGTATAAATAAAAATAGAAATAAAATTATTTAGCAAGATCAAGAAAAACTTAAATAAAATGTTACTAAACCAAGCAAATTATATTATTATATCCTGCTTTTATAGATTGAATTTCTAGACATCTATTTATTATAAAACCAATAGCCTCGGTAAATTAATTTTTTTTATGCTTTAAATAATAAAATCGTAATTTTTTCAATAAAATTAATTATGGAGGCTAGAAATAAGAAATGGAACTCAAATCATCGATTTATAAAATTGATACTTTTCTGTTTGTTGCATCAGCAGAAATCAGTTGAATGAATTTTGTAACTAATATACAAACTTTTGTAATTAAGTAACCATTAGTCTAACTTAAAACTTGGTAAGTATTTATCAAAATCGGTCGAGCGAATCACGAGTGATAGCTTAACTGTTGTATGAATATGAAACATATATATATGAAGTTGCGTAGATCGTCACTCTTAATTGGATGATCAAGTTTAGAAATAAATCCCCCAGATGGTATTAACTAAATTATTGTATTGACGATTAGTCTCAACAACCACGCGTGCCAAGGCGCGGACACAACTAATTAATAATTCTAGGGCTTAAAATTAACCATTAGTGCTCATTGTTAAATCATAAACTCTTACTGTTTTAAATTTTAGCCCCTTAAGTTACTTTTATATATTTTACTGTGCTTATTATGTTTTTACACCTTATTCGTAAAAACTAAAACCTACTATAAACCTACTTTAACTATTACAGTATTTTGTGACTTTCTTTCTAAATAGGAATTTAGGGCAAAAGGAAGAGCCATAACAGTTCAATACCTAAAAAGGTTTATGAGACCTTTGACAATTTTATGAATAAGGGCGTTAATTAATTTTTTTATACCACTGGGGTGGCAAACAAGCATACGGTCCACCTGATGGTAAGCGGTTACTGTAGGCTATGAACGCCTGCAATACCAGAGGTATTACACGCTCGTTGCCGACCCTGAAGAATCCTCTTTATACCCTTTTTGAAGAACCCCATGCTGTAGTCTCTTGGAAAAACCTCGACAGGGAGCTAACATAATATAGTGTAACATTACGGACAAATATTTTAAATATAGTTATAAATAAAATTAAACAACAAATTTGTCCTCCGAAGCGAACGCTTTTTTTAATAAAACGATATCGTATATATAACTTTTCATTTTCTTTTCCAGGTGCACAATAACATGGACACGCAGCAGTGAAACAAATCAGTTATAGAAAATGGGAGTTTTCAAAAGAATTATAAACAAGAAAGAATCAAATATTATACCAAGTACTAGAACAATGTTTACAGTGATTATTTTCGTGTTAGTGAGTGTGGTGGGTGCAAGTGTGAACTCGACGAGTGAGGTGTCTATAGGTAAATCGCGGATGTTGTGGCTAAAAACCTTACTAGATCATCATTATTGGATGGAAATCTTGGACAGTACCCCGCTACCAAAACAATGTGAAGCAGATTTGCGGAATTACATTGTAGCATTAAACAATGGCCAGCTATGGGCTTCTAAAAGTAAGTGGAACATTTAGACTTTTGCGTTGCATGGTTTATGACTTATAAGAGACGGAACTTTTAGGTAAACTATGATAATTTACCTTGGTTATATATTATACATTGGCCGTGGACATGAGTATACTGATGCAGCGATGTCATGCCTCTGCTCCCTAGATTTAATAGATATTTGATAGAAGTATTTTCTATTACTCACTCATTATCATACGTGTATATTATCACAAAAATTGTGTTAAGAATTTCGGCACACACTCTTTATTTAGTGTATTTACCGACTGCACACTGTAATGAGGTAATTTTTAGATTACTGGGTTCAAAGTGGATTTTATGCCTTTTTTTATCTTTTACTTTTTTATCACCTTTTTTGATAACCAATGTATCTATTACTAGTTTACCAAGATATTATGCATTAAAGATTACGTTAATTGCATCTATTCATTAAGTGCATTTCAGAGCAACGTCCCTAAATTTAAGTCAACTTTATTTATGTTATAATTTTCGAAATGTAAAAAACTATCGATAACTCATGGTAGGCACATGCATTAACTTTATTAACGGGTCACTTGTTTAAACATTATCACTATGTATTTGATACGGTCACGTCTTGCAAAAATCGATTTAGAAAAAAACTATTTGTCATCTAGAGTAGTAGGAGTTTTTGCCTTTGTATTCACCAAAGTGTTCACGTTTGCATTTCTTGTTCTTTTTTTATGTAAAGCTATTGTATTGTATATATTTTTTAGTTTAACTGTACTGAATGACTGGTGTTCAAATGAAGATTTCTGTCTTATCCAGTTATTAATCTATTAGTATTATAAATCCCAATATTTGTAAGGATAGATAGATCTCTTTCACATAAAAACTACTGAACGAATTTGAATAAAATTTGGTACATGGGTAGGATTTTTTTTATGCAATTTAGAATGGCAAACAAACTGTCGGCCCACTTGATGGAAACTGGTAACCATCGCCTATAGACTTGAGCAGTACCATGGATATAATAGAGTATACTGTTTTAGTTCAATTCTAGTTTACCACATAGGATATATCATGTACCTACTGATTTATCGGGCAAACCCACGGGATACAGCTAGTAATAAATAATAAACTTTTGACATTTATAATTTATTTTTATAATCAATCACTTAATAATTATCTGAACGTAAAACATTGAATATTTGGGCTCGTTGACTCTTAGTAGATTTATCTATCTTCACACCAAGTTTCCTTCGGAAAATTCAGAAAGTATACTAAAAGCACCTATCTTTATCGTACTTCTTCTTAATTCTCTTGCTTCACCCATTTTTATAATTCATTTTACGCGTACTCAGCGATTCCAAAAGATTTCACTGCTCTAAGAATACACAGTCTATTTGATTATTACAGTCTATGCAGATTTACGAGTATTTGCTAAATAATCTCGATTTCAAATATAAATTAAACCATTGACCTCATTTATGTGATGTAATGTATTTATTACTGCTACACTACTATGTTTCAAAATATGCTGTATGTCAAAGTTTAAGAGATAAATTCTGTCAAAAGAAATCTCTAAGAATATGTAACTATGAAAAGTCTCTTAATGTTGTGTTAATTACTCAGTACACACAAATGTTATTACTTAAAATATTTTTAGTTAATTATTAGCTAAACATGAATTTTAATTATATTTATAAAAACTTAAGTAAAAATTCACAGCTTTAAAACAAGTCATTTTTCAGCGCAATTATAATCGCAATTGATAGCATGTTAAAATTTGTATTTTTTTACAAATTTAAATTGTTATAAAAGTATTGGATAATTTAAAATTATTCATTCTTCAAAAATTTTAAATGCCTTTTTTATTATATTTTTTACTGCTAATGAATGTATAAGGTTTCAAGGTTTACATATGTATGCATATTACAATAAAAAAATTTCGATTTTAACCCTCTAATTTTTTCTTCCCTTGGAGAATTTAGAATTTATTTATTACATCAAAATCATCATTTAAACTTACTTTTTTTTAATAAATGTTATTAAAAAAAAGTAATAATATAAATATACTATAAATATAATACGATAAAGATTATTATTTACAAAAACGTCCAACGTACCATAAACCTATTTTAACTGTTGAACTGTTTTATCTTTTTTTTTTTTACACTAAATTCTCTAGTTGCAAAACAGTGACAAAGCAGTCTTATAGTTAAAATAATTTTGTAGGAGGTATTAGTTTTTATGAATAATTGGGTAAGCTTACATACCTATATGAACTTCTCATAATTAGGAGTATGCATTTAATAAAATCATACATTTTCTTTAATTATATTCCACTAATTCGATTATATATACGATTTAATGATTACATATCTCTACGTAATTGAACGGATAATAAAATTGATGGTCATAATTATAATCTTCTATCAATAAACATTTGCTAATATCTGTATGCTTAACACTCTTTAAACGCAATCCGATTACATCTAAGTTGTGTACAGAGTGAGAATGTTGATTCGTTTTGTAATTGCCGCATACGTAGGTATAGCAAACGCGTCTTTGCGTCACATTACATAAGAGTAGTGTTGAACAGTTGTAAGAAAGCCAGTGGCAGCTGGCTGGCTGGTTACCGGCATATCAGAGTTGCCAGGTGCGATTTTTTACTTTTCCCCAAAGTTTAAAATATTTTTCTTAAAACTGATACTTTCCTTCACTTTTACTCAAATATAAACTTTTATCAATTTTTATTACATTTCGTCAAGTAACCACTACATGAAGAACGAAAAAAAAATGCCACAAACAATCAAATAAATTGCCCGAAACTTTTTACACTGACTCTAAAATTCCTCCAAGACTAAAATTTTTAACAAAAATTATGAAAAAAGTACCCAATCTGGCAATACTGCTGCTACTATTTACTTCAAATGTGTCACTCACTTGTCTAGCAAGTATTATCGTTCGCTGCACTGACTTGCATACACTTCCATAGATTAACATCAGAGCGCATGCGTTCTCTTTATTCACCAGTTTTGCAGATCATTATCGGCCCTTTATTTCTACCGACCGCGTCTGTGCAAGCCCGGTACGAAGCTTTAAATTTATTAGATTGTTTCGGCCTTAAATTACTAACAAACCTTGGGCTTCTAAGATGAAATTTTAATGAACTATGAAATTTACGTTTGACTTTATTCCCAAGTAAAATTTTCTTGTTCAAGCCCTACAAAAACTTTCTACTTTATTCTTTCTTTTTTTTTAATAATTTCAACCAAAGAAAAGGCTATTTCTGTAAAAAAAAAACAGACATTTTTGCAATAAAATGTAACGTTGAAAATAACACCGGTATTTTTTCTATATGGAGAATAGCCTGTCACTAATTGTAGTACAGTTACGTTAATGAGATATCTTAATTAATTAATTATTTAAAGTCTTAACTTAACGTGGTAACATTAATATTAGTTTTAGCTTTAAATTATATTTTTTTTTAAATACCTAATCATTATCGGTATGGTTCGAATATTTTGTTTTTTTTTTGTTGGTGACATATTCAGATGTCTTCTCTTCCTAGATATCTACCTAAGTTCTAATTACTATAGACTATATTATATTATCTGTGATTACACCAATAATACTAATTATATTAAGTTAAACAAACATTGTTTATTTTCAAAATATTTTTCGTAAAATTGTACTTATTGATTAATTACTTAATTTAAAGTCAACACAAATATTAAACCAATCGCGAAGAAACGAAGGAGAAATATAAGTTTTAAATCATTTCATGGCCTCCGCTTTAAGAAGATTGAGATTTGCCCAAAATTAAGCGGCTTGAAGCGGTTTATTTAGTCGAAGTCCAATTTACACATTAAAAGCACTTTATTTTCTTATTTAATAGGTGCTTATTTAAAAAAAATATATCTTATTTTTGTTCCACTTGGGTTTTTATATATCTATCACAAAAAGCAATAATTTTATACCTAATTATAGTAATAATAATAAATAATAATAATTTTTAAGTTTAGTATTTATTTTATTAAATTTTTATCATTATATATACTTTAGCTCTGAGTGACTGTGAGACAACGCACAATCAATACCTATCGTTACGTTTATTAACATGAAATCTTGCTCAGTTCCTTAAGTAAATATTTTCCAAAGTTCCCAAGATAACAGAAAATGATCGATTGGCGCGGGTAAAGCTTATCTACTCGTACAATGACTACTTTAACATAATATATTTATTACAAAGCATAGTAACGGAAAAATGAAGCCAAATCCATGTTGTGGAACTTTCCTTTCATCCAATACTCTTTTATATTTTTCTATCAAAGTAAATGACATTGTAAATGGGAAAATACATCGTTGTTCTGGGTTCAGTTCACTCATTGATAGTCATAAATCGTTTTGATACTCATCAGTCTTTTCCCATTCGTCTCCAAAAAGTCACCCCATAAATACCCTTCGCTGGGTTCTTCTTATTCATACGACGTGACTGAACTTCTAAGTGCTTACACTTTTGCCTCACTTTGTAGTGCAATCACATTTACTAATATAGTTAAAACGTTAAGAGGGTTTACATCCTTAGACTAGCAATGACTTATACGTGTCATGTGTGAGAATTCTAACATAATTAATTTGTACAACTTGTGCATATTAAATATAATGAATTTATTTTAAATACAACCGAGAAATCTTAAAAAAATAGTCTAACACTGTACTACCTCATCCATCATTCAATAAGATTCTATTAATACTTTGTAACGTAATTGTACTTAATAATTAAAAAAAATATTTGGTAACTATAAAGTATATATTAAAAAAACCTAATTTTTTCTAGTAGATTTATATATTTTAATCGAACACTAGATAGCTACTGCTGAATAGGTATGATTAAAAAATAATTGAATTCTTGTCAATGTAATTACGTTCTGGAATGAATATGAACGCTCTTAACTTTTTCGAATTAATATGTATTAAAGTAGTTTCAATTAACAATATTAGATAACATTATATATTGGTGGATA